CAGCTCAATCTGCCTCTTGAATGCCAACCCACAGGACGATATTCAGGGTTCTCTCCATACTCGTTTCGTTCATAGTGGTCCTTTGTCTGGTCTTGAATCTCTGCATGCACCAGCAAATGGCAGTTCTACGGAAGTGGTAGTCCGTCAGCCAAGGTACCTTGTTTGGAGCAGGGCACCTGATCTGGCATCTGATGTCTCATTCGGAAAAAACTGTTGCATCTTAGGATGCTGTAGTTTGCTGAGTGCGTCCTTCGCGCTTGCTTCTCGCGGCGAAGGCAGTCCCTAAGAGGCATGGACCCACTACATCGTGTACAAGGTGAAGTTCAAGTTCACTAATGATGCACCTCATCTCGCCTGGTGCCTTCATGGGAATGAGATGGGTGCTTCGGCCTAGTGCGAAGCTGAGCAGCATCTTATGGTATTCTCGGGAATACCCTTTCGTATTGGTGCTGGATGGTCACCCACACAGACAATGGGCCGATACGGTGGTGGAAATGGTTCCTTGCTGATCGCCGATACATGAATCAGCGAGTGCTCGTTTTCAGCTGCTTGGAAGATGTACAGCAGATCGAATTCCACGGCCGCCGCTTTCCCAAAGCAATTGGGACGATTTCGCAAGCTCAGAGCATCGGTGCAGTAAGATGTTTTTGTCTTCAGCATTCCTTATAGTTTTATAGTACAGAGACTGATGCAGGGCAGCCCAGCCTCAAGACTTAGTCAGTAGGGTAAAGCTAAACCCTATAAACCCTGAACCCTAAACCCTAAACCCTAAACCCTAAACCCCAACCTGACGATTCCACATGTAGCTTCGAGAACCCGGGTTGCAACCCCAAGCCCCAACCCCTCAACCCTAAACCCCTAGTGCCCTCAACCCTAAACCCTGAACCCTGACCCCCCAAACCCCTTAACCATAGACTCCTAAGCCCTAAACCCCTGAACCCTAAAGCAGGGAGTGGATCTATCAACCTTCCCGAGCTAAGGTTTGCCCGTTTCATCTCCGACCAAAGCGGAGTGCCTTGGCCGTTCCTTAGTATAAAGGTATAGGGCCCCCACTTTTAAGTGTCATTTGGTCCTTAAGGTTGGCATTCTAACACGGACGATCCGAGCCTTTCAGTGGGGATCGTGTTATTGGCGTTCCTTTAAGAATTCCTCTCAGTAAGGCCACCAGAAAGGTACTACAAGGGTGTTTGGGGCTTAGTGTGCGGAATTCAGGGTTCAGGGTTTAGGTGTTGGGCTATAGCAGTAGCCAAGAAGTTACGAACATAATTATCCTCATACCTTTAAGGTAAAGTATAAGGGATCCTAGCACTAATCGTCCTAAACCCATGTTCCAGCTTTCTGGGATTCACTCTATAGAACCCTAAACCCTAAACCCCAAAACCCCAAACCCTAAACCCTAAACCCCCTTAAGAGGAAACCTTGAGGGATTCGCTGTAAGGGGTCGGGGTTCAGCGGTCAGGATTCCGGTTCTCGGGTTTAGGATGCATTCCATGGAGGCTCGGGTGTTGGGATCCAGGAATACCTTAAGGACGAAGGATTTAGGGTTCATATACCATATAGGGATTCATAGATCCAGTACTTGCAGGGTCGGGGACTTAGTAACTAGTTATTTTACAGACCTATAAGTACCATCACCCCAATTAGGATCCCTTTTACGGTACTTATAATTCTACTTATTAACTACTTACTAAGTCCCCCGCCTCTTCAAGTAGAGGGACGTTAATAATGAGGTTCACACAGGTGTCTCAATAGTGATCAACGGGGAAATACAGGAGCATGTATTAGGGTTGTTATGTTCTGTTGCATTCGTTGCCGCGGCTTTCATGACCTAATCTAGGACATTTTCAGGCGGGTAGTTACGGTTATAGGAGCCTTACAGAAGGTCTATATACCTTAAAAAAGCCCTATATACCCTGAACTCCCCACCTGTAGTTTCCTTTAACCTAGGGTGCACCTGAAGGACGAAAAGAACCTTAAAAGTAGGGGCCCCATTCCCTTATACTATGAATCGCTACATGGTATATGAACCCTAAACCCTTTTCGGGCTCCTTTCGTCCTTAAGGTGGGGTGTAGAATGCAGGATGTAGGATGCAGAAGTCAGTGCCACGTCCCTGCCGTCTGCATCTGGCTACGGCCTTTGAGTGGCTAAACCCTAAGCCCCTAAACCCTCAACCCCTAAACCCCTAAATCCTAAACCCCTAAATCCTAAACCCTAAACCCTAAACCCTAAACCCGAATCCCTGTAAACCCTAAACCCCGGATCGAGGAAAGGAGGTCCGCTTCTGATTTGCGGCCAACTTGAGTCCGTCGATTTCGCCTCAGTTGAGGCGTCGGCTTCACGGATGGGGCTAGGGTTTAGGGTTTAGATGGGGCTCCTTCTTCTTCTTCTTCTTCTTATCCTTCTTCATCTTATTATTTTCTTTTCTTATCCTTGCTTCTTCCTATGCGGATTCGTAGTACTGAGTAGTATTATATCACTATTCTGATTAATGATATTATTGGGCTGTCGATCAGAGCCTCTTTGCCATTTCCAGTGCCGACATGGACTCCAAGATGGAGCTGGGTGGAGAGCCTGGGGTGGCAAGGCTGGCCATCGAGGGTTTAGGGTTTAGGGTTCAGGGTTTAGGGTGCTGAGGTATCTCGCTCGCACATCGCTGGCGACTGGCCCAAACCGGAAATCGCAAGCCGGAGCCCCTTTGCTATGCCCTTCAAGCAAACGCGAGTCACGACCAGCAGACGTGTGGCCCGCGCTTTTGAAACTGACAAGGGCTGCCCGGCGCCCCCCTGGAAGATCCGAACTGCCACAACCATTCCTTCCTTAAGGACGAAAAGAACCTTAAAAGTGGGGGCCTTATACCCGTATACTATGAATCCCTATGTGAACCCTAAGCCCTTTCAGGGCTCTTTTCGTCCTTACGGCTCCTGGTCTGAGAGCGCATTTGGCGAGGAGCACACGTTGATGCTACGATATCTTGCGGCATCTGCCACTTCGACGCCAGCAACTTCGTTGGATGCTGTTGAACTCCTCATTCCTACGGTTGATGATATAAAGCCTGCATTTACCCATAAATACACTTAAAAACCGTAATTCCCACAGTTTAGGGTCCGTTTTAAGGTAATGCAAGATTTATATCATAAAGCAGTGGTCCCCTGTTCGGGGGAGGGTAAGGTTTAGGGTTTAGGGCTCGGGGCTTGGAAAGCCGGCCGGCCGATCAGTATGTAATGTAGAAGTCTGAAGCAAACATCAGCAGCGTTTAATCTTATGTCGGTATCCCTTAAGGACAAAAAGAACCTTAAAAGTAGGGGCCCTATTCCCTTATATGACTCGCTATATGGTATATGAACCCTAAACCCTCTTAGGGCTCCTTTCGTCCTTAAGGTCACCTTCAAGTCTCCGAAGTCTCCCTATAATCACATTTCAGTGTAGCCCAAAACTCCAAACCCTACTACTCATCTTTGAGCCCAGGTCAGTTGCGGCATCAACTCCACGCAATGTGCTAGACAGCCACTGGCGGGGAGCCACGGTCTCATAGGATTTCTTGTCTCAGGCTGTTTTCTCAGGTTGAAGCAATGGGCCCTAGTATGGGCCCTTAAGGGTGAGACCCTTATATACCTACTATATACCCTATATGTAAATTTAAGGGTCCCTAGAAAGGCCTAAGGGTCTATAGTAGCGGTTTTCAGGTGGGTAGTTCCCGTTATGGGAGCCTTATAGAAGGTCTATAGACCTTATAGAAGCCCTACATCCCCTAAACTCCCCACCTGTAGTTTCCTTTAACTCCTAAACCCTAAACCCTATACCCTAAACCCAAAACCCTAAACTCCTATATACCCTAAACTCCCCACCTGTAGAGTCCTTT